TCATTAATTTTCAGATAATGATTGTAGAAGGAAGATAAACCAAAATATGTGTGTAAAAATAAAATAAAAATAAAAAAAAAAATTTACCTTGTTTTATAAAGTATCCTCCCGACAAGTATTTCAGAGCGGACCTGTATTTGATCGTGAGGTCTTGGAGCACCGGCATGCCGTCGCCTGTGAGGTCTTAAGTCACCTGATTCACGAGCCCGTTGTACTACATTAACAAAGGCACGAGGGGTTGGTTGCACTCGATTGGGACACCGATCCGCATAAACATGTGCCATTTTTGATTTCGTTTGAGCCACGCAACAGACACCACTATTCACTCACGCGTTATCGACTGAGACTGACTGTATACAACGGAATAAAATAATTGTAAAAACATCGTTCCAAATCCTTTCGCTTTTTTGTTTCCGATGCGATGAACCGATAAGGCGGATTATATCCGTTGTTGCCAAACACGAGCACATAATATTATGATTGAGACAGGGCGGTACTCAAACTTCCAAAGGGCTATAACTTTGTTACTTTAATTTTACCAGAAAAATGGTAAAGGAAAAAAACATTTGATCTGATCTACTCACTGTTAAAATAAATGACTCAACTTCGAAGTCACCCTGTATATGAACAAAAAGGATGTGTAGTTCTTAGAAAAGGAGTGAAATATGGAGAGGAGGATAGGGGACGTGGGACAAAAAACATTTTACAAAGTATTATCATTATAAGGTATAACGCATAGGATGCCTGAATTTTGGAGGCTGGATTTGACAATGCTGGTTGATTGGATGGTCTACTTTGGCAAAAATCGGCTCCAGTGATTTATCTTCCTCGGTGTTTTTAAGAAATTTCTTGTGCGCTTGGTCAGGCATGTTGCCACAATGTCTTATGTAGCATCTCCTGAAGTAAGTCCTCTGGGATGCAGTAGAGGAACTGTCCAGCTCTTTTATACATCTTCATAATGTACCTCTCTAAATTAAGAATGTCACTTTTGCTTATGCGTGGGGACACAGCATTACGTCCGTATGTTAGTACAAGATCGATATCTATGGAATATGCAGGAGCATTACTCTTAGTCTCATTATAATTCCTTATCTAATGTGGAGATTCAGGATTCAGGATCTTTTTGTATGGAACACTCCAGATCAGATGAAGACCAGGATATTTAGAATTTCGTCCAAAAATGTATAGGTGGATCTTAATGTTGAATGAAATAACGCAAAACGTAAATTACAAGTAATAAGACTGAATTGATTAACATCGTTCTTATGAAAAAATGGCGTCAAGTAGTTTGACTCTACACTTTCAGGGTAACCCTGTTATCAGATGATAAAGGATTATATTCGGCACAAGTTGGCTCCTCTGAGAAAAAAGTTAGCAGCGAACATGTATACCAGAAAACTTAATCGGATCAAGTTAGTCAAACAGACTCAAACAGTTAAAATTTGCATATTCACCATGTTTTTCATACAGCTTTGGTGGTCTTTAGGATTTAGCTGCCTGCTCTCCTCGCTCTTCAAAAAGTATTTTTTCACGTGTACATTAGGCGTGGATGAGGATCGGTTCACATCCAGACGAGAAGCCGGGGCCTATAGCACCATTCTAAGCTTTAAGGATAAATGTACGGGGAAATCTGTGATGAGTGAAATATGTCAAAAAGGTGCGTAGATACCACGGCTTGAGGCGTATAAGTACACCACTTTCAAAAAATTTAGGTATAGCCTCCTCAACCCCAAATTTTTCTCTCCTTTAAATTTTTTGCAAAATGATCAGGATCCTCAGGATTGTCAAAAAAGGAAGTTTGAATGCTTTCACTTTTTTGCTCCTAGCTCCGCTGCCACCGGATAGATTTTCAAAGGCCATGAAGTCTGTTAGTCCTTGCATAGTAGTAACCTTGTGGGAAAATTTCTTCAAGATTTGACCGGCGAATTAGCGGACAGACAGGGGGAAATGAGTAGCTTGGTCTTTCGTGATATACATGTCATATAACGTTAAATTGTTTATAACTATAGCTTAGGAAAAACCATTCCAAATTTTTGTGATGTTATCTTACTATTGTCGTTGAGTTAAGAACATACGTTGCGACCCCTTTTGGTTAAGTGTAAGCTAAACTTCGCCAAACGAATTAACTCTAAGGCATTGTCATTATATAATTCTAACAAATCAAGACGCCTCTTTTATCACGGCGTATGATAACGTCTCCTAACACGAATTATTTTTTGGTCGCTACAGAAATAAGGTAGGAGGTACGAAAACTACAATGTCAGATTACAGACTACAGAAGTCAGGGGTTGGCTTGCCAACCTTAACATCTCTGCAACCCAAGTGGATCTGTTGTGACCCCATATATGCTTTCTAAAGCACTGTGTCCAGCCTTGATCCTTTAAAATCAGACTTCATCGACTTCATGTGACTTCTTCTACTAGACCCAAGAGTGGCGATTTAGACGACAGTGTCCTCTCAGGAGACCCACTATGGCCCTTATGGCATTCCTATTGAATCCAAGTAGGTTCTTTGTCAATACTGGCATTCTTTCTCTGCTGAACTCTCTTTCCTGCCTTTGCTCCAATTGGCTGTTCCTCCGTTCTAGGGACTTTTTCTTGGTCCAATTTCTCATGGACTGTTTCGTGCGTGTTCTCGTCATGCCACAGAAAGTCTCGGGACCTATAATGCAATTGGCCACACCCTGTCGTGCTAGGTCATTCGCCTTTCCATTTCCTTTGTGCTCTCCATGTCCGGGTACCCAGAGCAATGTTACCTTGGCGATCGACTGATTTACAGTCTCACTCCTTGTTAGCTCTTTTGCGCAGACTTGTATGGCCGTCAGTTCAGCCTGAAATATTGTTGCAATATTACCTAGACTTATACATATCTCAGTTTTTGGCCTCGCCCAAATCCCATCTGCAGCTCCGTCTTCAGTTTTCGAGCCATCTGTATACCAGCAGCTTTTGGCATGGATGGATAGGAGATAATTTCTTCCACGCCTTCCTCTCTGTTACTATTGTTTGATAGTTTAAATCGAAATTATACACCGGGATAGTTGTGTTCGTGGGCGTAACCAATGTAGGATCTGCCTTCAACTCCGTGTCCAGTTTATGATGATCTTTTCCATACTGCCTACTTAGTCTATGAGCCACGGAAAGAGTATTACCCTGAATAGATATGTATAATGGTGGTAGGTCGAGAAGGAACTTTAACGATGCAGTGGGTGCGGTACGCATGGCCCCCGTGGTGCTCAAGAAAGCTAGCCTCTGTAGATCACTTCACCGCTCCCGACTGAGTATTCTTTGTCCACCCACTGATCCATAGGTTATAATGGGTCACATCGCCCTCGTTTAACCCCCAATTTCTCCCGCATATCTGTCTGTACCATCCTAGGGCTATTGAAATTACTTCGAGTGTTGTATTGCAATGTAGGGAGGCTATCGATTGCCTCGCAGCGAGGCAACTGGTATCGTTAATGTGGGTACCGGGGCACGCTGGGATAAGGGGCAATGAGACGGCGGACATTCTGGCGAAGACAAGATTAGCCAGCAAGCTCGTTGGTCCTGAGCCAGCTGTAGGAGTGACCGCGCACAGAGCTAGGAGGAAAATGGAGACGCGGGTTGCAAGACAACACTCTCAGAAATGGAGAAGTATCTCCAGACTTCTCCGCCAGGCACGGGAACTCATTGAAGGGCCCAGTGCTAAGGATGGACGTTTCTGCCTATCTCTGGATAGAGCCAACATAAGGTTGCTGGTGGGACTGTTGTCTGGCCATAACACGTTAAGGCGCCACCTTCACGTGATGTAAGTGGCTGAGGATCCCTTGTGTGAACGCTGCGGGGTAGAGGAAGATACCTCGGCGCACGTTTTGTGTCGCTGTGAAGGTCTGAGCTACTATAGGCAGACTATATTTGGACCCTCCGGAAGTCAAGGAGCTTTTACTCAAGGTGATTCTCAACTTCGATAAAAGAGCGAGACTTGTGATCTAAGGAATGTAGGGGTGCATATGGGCCCGCTTAAGCAGCCTATGCACTGGCTCCTTATGGTGGCCGGCATGCCTCATTCATTCATTCAGGGCTATTGAAGCTTTCTGTGCTGTTCTGTTGATGTAAAAGTTCCACGTTAATCTGTGATCAAAAATGACTGAGATGTTCTGCCTGCAGGGTTAATGGCGTGAGGCCTTCTAGTATCCGCCTTCGTGTGAAAATGGCGACGGTTGCCTTGTGCGTATTTAGAGCCAGATTTTCGGTCCTGCACTACCTGGCGACAATATCCATGACCCTTTGGGACCATTCGAAAATGTTCCTTGCAAACCGGCCTTTAACTACGAGGACGATGTCGTCGGCATACTCCAGCCAGTAAAAGCCTTCGGCGGTAAGTTCTCGAAGAACTGTATCTACCAAGACCGCTCACAAGGCGAGGAGATAGCACTCCTTCTTGAGGACATCCCAGCTCCACCTTCGATGGTGGTATCCCCTGCTGCAGACGTCTCTTCAGGTTGGCTTCTATCCATTGGCATAGCGCGGCTATAACCCCCTGTGGTAAATTTCCCACAGTGCAATTGCATTCACCAACGATTGCGTTTTTGCGGTGTTAAAGGGACCTTATATGTATGGAAAGGTTGCTTGTCATCTAATGCCTTAGATAGCAGCCTGCATATCATCCAGAGTCAAATGGGTTAATTTCTATGGTTGATATGCATATTGACGGCTGTTGAGCAGGTCCGCCTCCAGTGAGAAGGAACGATGTCAGGCGTATTATTGCCTTATATGATTTGGCCGTTAAGTCTGATACTCTGCCTATGTTCGGACCTTTGTCTTCCTCCACACATAGGGAACATATTTTCAGGCCAAGCAAGCCTTGAAGTCTTTAACTAGATGCCGAACAAGCATCTCCTGCCCCTTTTACAGTAGAATAGGGTATGTGCCATCTACACCTGGGGATTTGAATAGCTGGAATTTATTTACGACCCATCTGACTTTGTCTGGCCTTGTTATCATCGTTGCCAGTCTCCATACCTTCCTCGACTGATCACTTTTGATGATGAGACCTACATCCGCCAATGTGTCTTTGGCCAGCACCCTGTGGATCGGGATGCTTCTGGCCCTTCTTCCAGGTCTTCGCAAAACCTCCTCCATGAGCCTTTTGGCGTTTCGACTTCTGTGTTCTTTGTTACTTCGGCACTGTACTTATCCAAGTCATAATTGTACTTTGCCTTGTCTGTCTTTGTATATCTGCCCTACGGCTTCCAACGTGCAACAATAACACGTTATGTTGTGTGACCTCTCCTTATGTACCTAGATAAGGTGGATCTAAGAACGGTCTGAAGAACACCTGGGCTGATATGGAAACAAGTAAAAAAATAAATCCACAATACGCATAGACTTCCTAAGATTCCTATTTCGAGCCACTGTATGACATGGCAGTCACGTTATCGGTTGGAGCTCCTCAAGTTTATCGCAGGGCACACATTCAACGGGATATAAAAAAATATTTGTTGAAGACAAATATGTCATTTTTAATATACCCGTCGCTATCTGGAAAAGCAGTGATAACAGTGAGATGAAGGCATGTACTACAGCCGCGTTATCGTATTATTGCTTCATTTTTATTAAAAAAGCCATAAATCATTGCTGAAAGATGGAAATTTATATCAACCGAATGTGTTTTACTAGAGATGGAGGGGTTGAAATTAAAACGTGTCAATCAAACTTTCAAATAAAGAATAGATTGATTTTTTAGCTTACTTCAAGGCATTAACTAATTGTATCCAAACTATACATACAAACAAAACCTGGAAATACAAAAAATGCATTTTTACCGCGCCAATTCAAAAATCAAATACGTTGAAATTTTTTAACAGCGACTAAGGCCCGTATCGTCAGTCGTACCTACAATTGTAGGGCGCCTATATGGCCTCCTTGATTGTCATAGTTTTCTACTTCTCCGTGTCAGAACTGTATTTTGAGGTTATGTCACAAACATCTATTTGCATCAAATTGTGCTTGCTTTTGAGTTATATCATGTTTTATCAGCCTGAAATTTCCTAAAATTTAAAAAGAAAACATCTTCACAATAGGAGAGCGCTGGCGCTGACACGGGACAAGTGTGATCTAGAAATTTTTGAAGGAGAGAAAGGAAATGACAATCAAGGAGGCCATAAACGAGCCCTACAACTGTAGGGTCGACTGACGATACGGGCCTAAAGAACTATATATCTAGGAAAATGAAATATGTGGGAAAGTTTGAAATCTCTTGATCCTATTTTTACACCAATAATGAAATTCAGAAACGTGCACTGTTCGAGCAAGTATTGGAATCGCTAAAATTTCTAAAATCAGGTGCTTATTAAATGTTACGTACATCACGAAAAACCATGTCGCTCTTTTTCATCGGTCTGCCTGTCTGTCGGTCTCTCCGCTAGTCTTATAACCGCCTACAACTTGAGGTAGTGCCGCTAGGATTTTGATGGAATTTTTACACAATGTAGCTACTATGCCAAAGATGAAGATTGTAGTTTTTGAAAATCGATCCAGTGGTGGCGAAGAAAAAGTCCAAAAACGAAAAAAGTAAAAATTGCACAAACTTCGTTTTTTGATGCTTCAGAGAATCCTGATCATTGTTGAAAATAATATTAGAGGTACAAAAATTGAGATTGAGATTTCATCAAAATCGGTTCAGCCGTTAATGATATTACGCAGTTACAAGGACATGGATCTTAATAATGATACCATAATATTGCAAAAAGTCAGTATAAAACTAATCAGGTGCTAACATGAATAAACCGATATCAGTTCAGAATTCATGAACGCAAAAGGTACTATCATTTTCTGTAAGTGAGCCCAATAATTCTTTGAGTAGGTGTGGGAACCCGGAGACTTCTACCTAGGAGCTCGTTTATTTTCACACCGAAAAAACGATATCGAAAAATTAGCTTTTACAATATAATGATCACATAAGGGACCAAGTATTTCATTCCTGCTAAATGGACAAAAGATCTAACAACAAAATCTGATACAGCTGTCTTGCCTGTGGCACTAGTAATTGTAGGGTAAGACTCAAAATTAGTTTCCCTGGAGGCTATCAGTTTGGCAGTTAAAAAAGGGAACAATAAATATGTTAGGGCTAAATAATTGACCAATACATATCAAGGCAAGAATTTTCCCAAAAATTACACTAGTGAACAAAATTACAATAATTAATTGTGACATGGACAAAATAAGATGGTTACTATGTAAAACTTACCTAAAAAGCCAAAAATAGCATTTGATTTTTTCTATCACCCACGGATTTCTTGCAATAAGTCATTTTATTTGCTGCTAATACTCGTAAAATATAAGGATAGGTGTGTAAGAGTACTAATAAACACTCGAATAAACATTAATCTCAGAATGTTGTTGACGATGTTTTACGGCGATATGTTGCTCCTGAAGTATCTCTTAACAATGTCCAGCAATAATCAGCGAGCAAATTAGCACTCCTTGCCTCGATACCGTTTTTCCATAGTGGAAATGTCTTGGTGGAACCGTTCACCATCTTCATCACTTACCGCACCTAAATTTTCTGGAAAAAAATCGAGATGAGAATCCAAAAAGTGAATTTTTAGAGACATGTTACATCCCATTCCTTTATAAGCATTAATTAGTTCACCCACAATATCTTTATAAATGTCCGCCTTCACATTGCCTACAAAAATTGGCAGTAACTGATTTAAAAGCATTCCAAGCTCGTAATTCAGTTTCATTTAGAGCACTGTCAAGTACATCATCCTTCATGATTTTCCATATTTGTGGAACCACAAATATGCCCTCTTTAGTTTTTGCCTCACTAAGTCTCCGAAATATTTGTTTCAAATGCAGAAACCCTCTTCCATTTCGATCCATAGCTTTCACAAAGTTTTTCATCAGTCCCAACTTAATACGCAAAGGTGGAAGCAACACGTTTTTGGTATCAACTAGTGGTTCATGAGCAATGCTTTTGAGGCCCGGAGTTAGTTAGCTCTCCGCACACATAACAAAAACTGATCGCACTATTCACACAATATCTAGGCATTGTCCATAAAGCTAGTCTCGATCACAATGAACTAAAAACAACACACCGTTTTAACAAAAATCAACAGTACTCAGAACAACTCAGTACTCTTCAACACAGAAAACGTAACTAACTCGTCTGCTATTAGTCTACTAATAAACGCAATATGCCCTCTAAGCATAGAGCTCGCATATAATAAACAGGAATAGACAGGTCTTAATATTACATATGTGCGTCATTGCATAAACGCCGAGAAATGCAGCAATATGAAATGTTACGTATTGTAATTCATAAAAGTAGATGTTACCGCATATCTGTGGGTGATAGAAGAATTCTGTTTTTAGATTTGATTTAAATGCTTGAAAAGTGTTTCTATGAAAGCGGAATTGAAAATAATTGGAGTATCCATCTACCCGGTTCTCACATACGGACTTGCAGCTGTATTCCCACGCATAAGTCATTCGTAAATTAGAGAGGTGCCTTAAGAATAGTAATAATAATAACAATGATAATAACAATAATAATTTATTGGAAATATTACATAAAAATGTGATTACACAAGTCAGGTAGAGTAGAACATAAAAGAGTAAGTAAAAACGACAAACAATACAAAAATAAGACAAACGAAAAAAAACAAAGTGGTAATAAAAGGAAACGTTCAAAATTTAGATGAACAATAATATAAGATAGTTAAAAAATTATGAAATAATATTTTTTTCATGTTTGCACTCAAAAGTCTTTACACACGTCTGGAGAACAATAAAATGTAATAGAAAAATAACACTTACGCAAAAAACACAAACAAAAATAAAGTAATGGAACAAATTGTCAACAATTATGGAACAAAGTCGGTAAAATCATTATTTAAAAACTCATTTATCCTGGAAAAAGCCTTCGTCACTAGATTTCTTTTCACAGTTGCTTTAAAATTGGTTGAGTGGAGTGTTTGACAAAACCTGGGCAGCGCATAAAAAAATTTCACGTCGAAATAGTTACTTCCTCGTCTAGTTTTTGATAGTCTTGTGTACTCTGGAATTAATTCATTGTTGAACCTTGAACCTATATATATATATATGGCACAGTTAAAATTTTTAGGTCTATAAATGTCGTCTTGCAACACTGTCTGAAATGTAAGTTTGCTAGCAACAGCAACAGCAAACACCTTCGATACATGACATGAATGACCCCAATTCAGTATGCAGTATTTCAAGTTAGATTGGAAGTAAGCATAATAGGCTGTCATTAAAGTCGATTTTGTTACGTAGGTATTTAAACTACGTATCGTATATGTTATTCTAGATAACTTCTTTGATAAAGAGGTGATGTGTGATTCTCAAGTTAAGCTTGCATCAATAATCACTCCAAGAAATTTGACGGGTTCTACTAAATGAGTTTTATGTGGACGAGTACTGAGTAGAAGAGATTGAGTTTTCACTATGTTGATTGACAAACTGTTGGCATTAAACCAGTTTTGAATGATGTCAAAATGCTGCTGAGAATCGAGAAATACATGGTCAAAGTCACTATTGGATGATATTGATGTCGTGTCATCCGAAAATAATATATATATTGATTGGTGCTACAGGTTGGCAAATCATTGATGTAAATCAAAAAAAGAATCGGTCCCAAGACACTTTCTTGGAGAGCTCCCTGCTTATTATGTACATTTTTAGATAAACAATTTTGAAAGCTAACATACTGTCTTCTGTCTGATAAATAAGACGCAATTAAGGACAGGCTGCTATTACTAAAACCATATAGCGACAACTTTTGTATATACATATATATATATATATATATATATATACAAAATAAGTATATATATAAGAGAAAAATTTCTCTTGGGACGAGATTCGAACCCGCACACCGCACGTCGACTGATCAGGAGACCGAAGAGTCTACTATTGCGGCCACCGCTGCAGCCTAGTCTGCAAGATGATATTTTGATGTATTTTTTTGATGTGTTATAGGATTTTTACATAATAGCCGTTCGGGAGATCTAGGAGCTAGTGCAAGGATATAAGACAACTGAAAATTGTCATCTATTACCAGGATCGAGCTCTCCATTGTCAGGCGGGTCACCACTGTGGCCGCTAGGTGTTGCCGATTATGGCTACAGTAGATACGGCCTGCTCGCCATGCGGGGTGCGAG